TGCTTTGTGGGCAAAATACATGCCAACATTAACTGGATGGGTATATGTAAATAGAGGCAAATGGGTGAAAATACATGATGATTATCTCTTGTTTAGTGGGAATGATTTCCATTATCTCAGCAAAATACTTTGTTTTCCCACTCAGTCTTCCAAAATAATGCACCTCCCAGATCTCAAAAATGGCATTAAATAACATCACTTTTTTGTCTCTGAGTGTCCTATTTTATAGCTTTCAGATATTATTAGGTTGCGCATCACTTAGATGTGGAAGGAATGACGTACTTTCTCTATTGAGAAAAATTTTGGGTAGTTTCAATAGTATGTTGAACTCTGTGCTGCAGAATTGGAAACTGTAATGTTATCTGCTACACAAATTGATTGCACTTAATGGTAGGCTGTGTAATACTTTTTCTTGTGGTGCTGATCAGTACCGACCTGGCTGGGCAGATGGCTAGTTCTGTTGATTGCATATCCATTGCAACTTATGTTAATTATCTGTTGATTTTAAGTCTTACTCCTTATTTTTTGCATGGTGTTTCGTGGAAAGAAGTCTGTATTTCAGAAAGCTTAAATCTGCCATGCTGGCCTACAGGAATGTATTTGGAATGTTAAGTTTCTTTTAACAGTCATGTTTAATATATACAGAGGGCATCTAGCTCTGACAGGCCATCTGAATGTCTTCAAAGAGTTACTGAATTGTTTATTGATCTACTTCATTATTGCTGTTTCTCTGGTTCCTTTTGATGTCTTGTCACTTTGTTCAAAATATGATGCCAGGGTTTTAAATTAATAGTTGTGCAGGAAGCCCTACATGTGTAAATATTAGGGTATGTTTCTCCTTTGAGTAAGAATGTGCTAGATTGTGCAGTAAATATTGCTGCCATCAGTTTTATCCTTTTCATGCCCCTCCCTGTGCACAGATACTACTTCCTCTCTTCCTCTTAAGAAAACTGAAGTGTCTGAGGTTTTATCTCTTAGGTTTTATAACAGTCTAATCTCTTATTCTGCCTTTGGAAGCTTACAGACTAGTTCCCTGCTTAGGAAAATAAATTTGATTAATTTTTCCTCCTTCCCTTTAATCTTTTCCATGTATGTCTCTTACATTTGTTAAATCACAAATTAAAAGTGCCGGCCCATTTATTTTTTTATCTCCCCCCCATTAATTTATTTAATCACTTTTTGATGCTTTTTAAGCTTCTAGAATAGACAGCATCCCATGACAAGGAGTTTCAAGTATATTGATTTCTTGGAAAAGGGCTTTATTTTTAATCCTGCTACCTGAATGTTTATTTGTGGATTTTATTTTTTTTTTTTTGTTTTGGCTATAAATAGTGGGTAATAATTCTTTATTTTCTAAGCTTTCAGGATCTTAAATATTTTTATTATATCCTCCATCAGTTGCTTCTTTTTCCAGGATTAAAATTATAACCAGTTTGCTTATTCCTTGTACAGAAGTTGTTCCGTATCTTTGGGCATCTTGGTTGCCTCTCATTATCTCTTCTATTTCTAGATTTTGCATTTGACTCAGCCCATTGGCTTGTCTTCTACACTTAGTGTGCACCCACAGCAACAGCAGGAGTTTGTCTGATATCAGATTAATTTTTGTGGTAAATCAGCACAGAAATGTTAAGTGTCAGAGTGAGAAATAAGACTTCCCGCTGGTGATAAGGCAGGTGTGGAACTCTTTCATTTAGATGTACGGCTTCTTCAGACAAATGTCTTGTGCCTGCCTACAAGGCAGCCTTGCCTGTTTGCACTCTTCCAGCTTATAGCTTACGTCCCCTTCACAGCAACAAAACCTGGCCACAGTTTTCGCAGTGCGCTTCGCTCACAGCTCTGAGAGTTACAGGCCAAGTGTATGTCCTAGGTGTGCCCAGTAGCTGAACCACAGAAACTGGCCAGTTTGGTTGCTTCTGGCTGACAAGGCATAGGTTTGTGCTGTGAAGCTGTCAAATTCATGTATTACTGGTGTTCATTATTTGTCATGCAGGACAGTTTTATTTATTTTTAAAAGAGTCCCCTAACCCACTCCTTTCTCACTCTTCCCCATCCAAAATGGTAGGAATGAGCTAAGTATTCTGGAGGTAGGGATAAAAAAACCCAACCTTTTAATATTTAAGTTTGTAGAAAGTAAGCTGTTACATTAGAAATGGTCAAAGTCAAGGTTACCTGTGTACAGTCTTAAATCTTCCCTCTTTTTTGTGCATACAGCCCAGTCAGTCTTTAACAACTTGTATACTGTTTCCTTTTCTGCAAAACTGCAGATATTTCAAGAATAACAGAAATACTGTAAAATCATAGGGTAGAGCTAATATGTTCATTGATGAGGTTTCTTTTTTTTTTTTTCCTTCTGGCCCTGCCCTTTCATTGCTAGATTTCAGTGTGAAACTTGACTGCAGTACTTGTGTTTCCTTACATTTGAAGTAGGTTTTCAAAAGGTAAGTGAGCAAAATGCATCATGGAAAACTACATTAGGAGGGAAAAAGGGAAAGCTAATCCTCAGCTGTGAGGAGCTGCCAGTAATGTTCAGAAGCTGACAAAGATGAGCTGCTCATCTGAGCATAAATAGTCCTCAGAGTCCGTGTGTTTGTTGCCTTGTGAAACTGGGTGCACTGTACTCATTAGTTTTGCTCCATTTTAAATATTTGATCACATCTATGATTGTTTACTTTTGTGTAGTTTAAGGCTCTGTTGCAGTCAATTTTCACTTTGCAGTACATGAAGACTAGGAGTCTACAGGGTGTCCAGTCTATAGTGAAATTAGCAGTTAACTGTAGCCCAGCCTGGTGTTTTGTGATCTACCATGTTATTTTACAGTGAAAACATCCAGGATAAAATGCCACAAAATTGATGGGTTTCCATTGAGAGAGATTTTCATTTTTTTCCACTGTTTACACACTGAAGATGAGGCCTCTGCTATGACACAAAGACACTTTAGGAAGATTTCAAACAGCAGCAGAAAATTCTCTCTTTGGGAAAGAAAATGTACCGTGTAGACTTTTTCCCCAAGAGTATCTGCTTCTTCAATGCAAAAAACCTCACATTCTTTTATTTATTTTTTTTTAAGCATTAAAGTAGCCAGAAAGTCAATAGTATGTATAAAATATGCAATAAATGTCAACCCCTGTACCTGTACTCCATGATACTCTGGCATACTGAAATAGTGCCTTTGCATAGACTGAAGACACATTATTTCTATTGAAAGGGTTTGTGTTTGTGGAGGTTTGTACTGCTCCTTAAAAAAAAAAGTTTCTATTTAAAAAAAATTCGAATTGCTGTCTTCTGATTACAATTTTTCTAAAATTTCTTCACAGATTCCCGTTAAGAGAGTAGATAGTGTGCTGCAGGAAATCTTTGGGAAATAGAATTACAAAAAGCTAGTGACTTAAGTATTAAGTCCCATTCTGCTTTGCTGGTCATGTGAGATTTAATTCTCTTAATTTTATATATTTAATTTCACAATACTGTTCTTTCCCTCCTGCTGGAGGAAAGGCCCATTTTCTGACATAAACTTTTCTTTTCTCTCCCCTCTCCACCCTGACCCCCAAGAGCTCTGTGCTGTTTGCCCATTAAGTTATACCAGAATAATTCTTACTGTGGCATGTAGGGCATTTCAAATGAGGAATGTGTCAATTATTGGACCTCAAGGAGGGAGAGGTCAAAGTCATAGTGATGGGTTAGCATAGTCTTTAGGGTCAACAAGGCCGGGATTAAGAGGGAATGAGCCCATCAGGGTCTGAGGGCCCTGCTTCTGCTGTCTCTCTATTATGTCATTCAGATGACTTGCAGACCCAATAGACTAAAGCAGTTGATACTGTGACCACTACATTATATGCAGTTCAGTTTTTATTTTGGACTAGATTTAATCTGCTCCCCAGGACTAAACAGTCTTGCTTCACTTGCGGTTCAAAGCTGTAGGACTGCTTATTAGTTCAGACCTGCCTTGGTAAGAGATGAAGGGTTGGAACAAAGCTTCAAGTTTGGTTTCCTGTCAAAAAAGTGTAGTTGCATGTGCCAAAACTGCTCTGGACATAGACCCCTGTTCAGAGGGAGAGCTTTAAAACTATATTATTGCTCTGAGCTAAGGTCTTAATATAGACACAGCCTTTTATTAATCCTAGAGATCTTTTGTCCTGATCTTCCTGGTGATAGTATTCAGTATTACTGTGTCTAGCTAATTAAAGCTGCTGCTGTTAGCTCCTGCTCTGTCAAGTTTCACTAATTGAAGTCCACTGATATAAATCCATTGTTTGTATTAAGAAGGGGGGAGGGCAGGGAAAAAGAAATAAAAAAAGACTTTGTTTTGGTTTTGTTTTTTTTTATTTACTTATTTATTCTCAGTTGTCCCTGTCAACATGCCACAGTTTCATCCAAAGCAAGGGATGCATGAAGCTTTTCAGCCTGGGTTTTGTTTCCCTGTAGTTTTTATACTTGTTTAATTTGCTGACTGGCAGCTGCAAAATCACTTAATCAGCATATCTGGCCCAAATACTAGGCTGGACTTGAACATACTGACAGTGTCTTGGCTCATGCACAGCTGAGACTAGTTTGAATTCTTCTTCTGTGATCTGTATAAGTAGTAGTGGTGGAAAAATAAGAAAACAATAGTCTGAAGATCCTTCTTGTTCCTCTCCCAGATGTGCCACACTAGTCAAACCCCGAATGCCTGTTTTGGTCTTGTTTGTAGCCTCATGAAGCTTTGGAGAGTCACTTCTGACTTACAAGACCCTCTGTGGGAGCAGGAACAGCTCTCTATTACCACTGCTCAATTGGCAGGCCTTCTTTTTGAGTCCATTTGTTTGCCCTTTCTGGGGCACCATTGTTATGTGTTCATTTCTGTGACCTGTGGAGCTGCTGAGCACTGTCATCACATTGGCAGGTCTATTTGGTCAACACAGAAAGCATTTTCTCTGAATCCAGGCAAGTCATCTGAACTAATTACTGTGGTAAGTCCTATCAGGACAAGTTCCAAAATTAACTTACTACCTTATTTTTTCCAGGTACTCCACATCTGCATTCTCCAAACTAAGCAAAGTAGGGATTCGACATCCTCCAACTCTTCCTTTCATTGGTAACCTGCTCTTTTTCCGTGAGGTAAGATATAGTTTTCTTTGTATCTAGCCGATGTGATGGGATGAGTGGACAGGAGGTAGGAAGAATTGAAATGGTACACTTCAATGGTACCATCTCTTCAAGCATCTCCCTTTAGAAAGAACAAGCAAAACTCAGCTTTTTGTGTCAGTTGATAGAAGCCGTTGAGTGCAAGCAGCAATAATTTCAGGGTAAAATAAACTGAGTGGAAAAAAAAAAAAGAGGCGTAAGCTCCTGCAGTTAATTACTTGAGCTTTTCCAAGAAAGTTCATGCCCTCAGTGAAGCAAATTTAGGTATATGAATAGAGCAGATTATATTAACTAGCCCAAACTGGTTTGTTCTGAGTAGTTTTGGCTCCTATGACCTTTCTGTTTGTTTGTGCTTTTGCTGATTGTACACATTTATTCCAAAGCTTGTGAAGTTACTTGCTCCTGAGCAGTAACTGGCATTAGGTACCACTGAATTCTGTTGCTCTGTGCCCCACATACTGGGACTTGGAAGAGGAAAGAAGGGGAAGTGTTGGAATTCTGCCTTCAGATTTCATTCCCTTATTTTTCTCACCCATGCCATTTCATTAGTCTGCTAATGCTGTGGTTTGTTCCTTGCTCAATTTTATTAATGCTTCTGAGAATTTAGTCCAAATCCTCTTAATAACGAGGACCTGCCATTTCTCTGGTTGAATCTTACAGAAAAATATCTGTAGTGTGTCTCTGCTGCAGTCCAACAACTTTTCAGGAAATCTGGGCTAACTCTAGCTGCTGCCCAGTTTCCTCTTTTAAGTGCATGGTCATCAATATCCATGCTGAGATTTGAATTATTAATGACAATATAGTGCCTCTTACCTTAGTCTTCATAGTGATTGCACTGTCAAATAATCTGACTCATTGTTAGGTAAAACCCATTTAAATACCAGTTTTACATGTACATCTGATTTCATTTAGAAAATAGCATGAAAGATAGACTTGATCTGCTCTTGATTAATGTGAACTGGAGTTGACAGAGTGACTTTAACGTACTGGGGATGGTGGTGGTGTGGAATACAGACCAGTTCATCCTCCCTCTTCTGGTTTCAGTTCAGCTGGATGGCATGAAGCTACTTGTTCTGTAGTTCTTTGGTCACAAAATCCAGTTATCGTTAGTCACCTACTAGCGCTGTAAGAAAAAAGTGCCTAGAGACTATGACATGCTGTAGATAGGCTTGCCCTGTATCAGCAGACAAGTGGAAAGTTTTTGCAAACTGTTACCTATGATGTGTTAAGCAAATTTTGTTACCAGAATTGCATTCATTAAGTCCACTTAATGCTGGCTAATAAAGAAAAGTTAAACTTAATCCTAGTTACTTTTAGCAAAAAATTAGTTAAAGGTAGCTGATAAATTATATCTTGGATTACCAAGAAATATTAATTCCATGCAGGGTTTTGAAATACCCTTTTTGAGTGATGCAAAACCACAAGCCTCACAAGGCTGTATGTCCTTGGATTTCACTATCCATTTTCCCTATAGTCCTATGGTTACCAGTAGGAATGGGCAGGGATGAGTCCAGGCTCTTTGTAATTTTTCTTTCTTCCCTCGTATATTTTGCGTGTTTTCTGGATCTGCTCCTGTGGCTGCTTTCCTAGAAATAGTGCCCATAGCAACGTGTTGGTAATAGGAAAGCTGCTTTTATACTGCAGGCTGTTCTCTATGAGAGTGTTTTCAGGGACAGGAGTGCTCTCACTGCAGTCAGAGAACAGCTTCCACCTTCCCTTCCCCTGCAGGGTAGAACCGGAGATTGCCCATCCTAGGAGTGAGGATGGTTTTAGAGGCTTAGCTGTGAGGGGCACAGCTGTGCGTGAGCAGTGATTTGTTGGGGGCTGAGGTGACTTCTTTTTTTTTTGTTAATAGGAAGTAGCAAAATGTCGATTTGTTCTGTTGCTACATCTACAATGTTAAAAAGTTCTTGCACTTGCATGTTTATGCAACCATGTCTTCTCACTGAACTGGCTTTTTAGAGAGTCTCTCTTTTAAGTAGGCCAGCTCCTTCTTGGTATTGCCAGTGTTGTGAAAGGAAAACACAGGAGCTACACTCCCACTACATCATCAGACTAGCAGTTTTCAACCCATGAACATTTATTTTGGAGGAATTCATGAATGGCGACTTAGGAGTGAATTGATATGTGCCGTATGGGAATCTGCCTATGTGTCATTCATACTCTTCCAGTGTCAAACTTGGACTGCAAATCAACTTGGGTTGAAAAGCCCTGGACAACAGAGGGATCTAGAAGAAAAAGGGAAATTGAGACATCTTAACAAATACAGTCTTCTGGTCCAAAAAGTGTCCTCTTCTCATGGTTTCTAGTTTTCCTTCTAGGATATGATTGCTAGAAACTTAATGAAAAAAGAAAAAGGGGGGAAGATGGGGGAGGGGGGAACAACAAGGACTCACACACACAGCTCCCTCTGACATAATCAAGAAAATCTAGGACCTGGGATTTAAGAAAAAAATATTAAATACTGAAAGCTCCTAAAAATTGTGGGAGTAAATGGTATTTTTCAGTTTAAATGGCATAAATTCAAGGTTTTAAATGTCTTTTCCCTGACTTGAGTGTAGGTCAGTTCTACTGAAGTGAACAGAGGTTCCTGTTTTGCTCCACTGTGTGAATAGAGCATCATTCTTTTTTTGGCTATTATTCTTCTGTAAGTGTGCCTGAAAATAAATGAACAATGCCAGCAGGATTTGACCAATAGTGCTAGGTTGTGGGCTTTTTCATAAGCCTTCAAATTTATTTTAAACAAGAAAATGTTTTCTTCATGGGATTACTTTGAAAGAGTTATTTTGGTGATTTCTCAAGCAGTGCATTTTATTTGAGTGAAATAAGAGTTGCTGTTAATACAGTGTCTGTGAGAGAGGAAAAGGAAGTGCTGAAAGTTAAGGGACTAAAGGAAATGCAACAGGAAACACCTATCTCTATCACAGAGGAGCAGACTTTAAAAGCTGATTTGGGGAAAACAAAGTTATTTTACTGTAAGTCACCCCTCCTCTCTCAAGCACAATAAAGGGAGATAATCACACCCTGAAACTAGAACATATCCAAGTTAATCAACTTATCTCAAAAAAGAGAAGATAGGAAATTATTGCAATTCTGCAGCTGGGAAATTATCAGAGTCCAAGATATTAGATTAAAAATTCTTCCCTTGCGTGAGAACAATTTGTGGTGGGTAAGTCTGATGTAACAGTAAATATGATTAGATTGTTTAAAAAACCAGCATGTTCAGTTTTCTCAATAACTGAGCAGACTTGCAGCAGGCAGACCACTGCTTTGCTAGGAACTCCCAACTGTTCCCCCACCTCTCCACGTTCTGCATTTTTCCTACCAGCCTGTGGAAAAACATGAGGTTTGTCTGTAATAGCTGTGTAATGGGACGCACAAGGGTATACGCAGCATGGACTTTCACATATGAGTCTGCATGGGCTTTGGAGCAGCAGCTTGCAGGAATGCTAAACAAAACTCTCCTATTAATTCCCAGGCTAATGGTTTTATTACGTGACAGATGCTCTGAAAACCAAGAAGCCACATGCACTGCACTACCCTTCTGTCTGAAGAACCACAGCAAACACTTGACCTGTTGCTATGGCTGTGCTGTGCTTTTTCTCCCCCTTTCCCATCCCCTTTCTAAAAAGGCAGCCAAGCTGCATTTAAATGTCATTGGCTCTGACATTTGCATGGCTCTGGTCTCCTGGTACTGTACCTCTGTGCACTGCTCCCTACTCAGCCTCTCGGGGAGCAGCGCTGTGCCCCTGCAGCCTTGAGGCTGATGTCTCTTCATGATGTTTGGGGTGGTGGTAGGTGTGTGGTTGACTGCTTCTTTTGATTCTTGGTAGGCAGGATATGCAACTTTGCCCTGTGTACTGTTGGGCAATGTGCTTTGGGTTCTTATAATGGCATGATCGTGTGTTGCTTTCCTCCTGTTACTCATAGCAAGCTCCAGTGAAGGTTTTGACTGGCTGTGCGCTTGTATTCCTGCCTTGCATTTTAATGAAAGACATCACTCTCTTTAGCCCCTCTCTGCTTGGACAGGATACTCTTTGTTTACTCTGTTTATTTCTGTCTGGCCTACTTGTAGATCCTGGGCTGCCCCAGAGTGGCCCATTTCTGCTGAATGGAAATGGGGGCTGTGTGGGTGCTTTGTCTTGCTTTCAGTTTGAGATCTGGCTGGGCTGTGTTGTTTTATGGCTGATGGGTGGGTGCAGAGAAAGGGGGAGTGCAGGGAGGAAGCAGAGGGCAAACATGATCTTTTTATCTTTTTCCTAAGCATCTGCCAAAAGCATCCTTTGGGTTGTACATAAAGAAAAATAAAAAGCAGGGTCCTTGCAGGAATGAAATTAACCTCTTGTCTAATTTTCAGCCTAGAAAGAAGCGTGTCAGTGCTTAGAGAGAGTGGCTGCAGCATTTACTCTTCTGGAATTTAATGACACAGCATGTAAATCCAAACAAGGTTGGAGAGAGGCAAATGGGGGGGGGGGGGGGGGGGGGAGGGGAAGGGAAAAAGAGGAGCTGTGAGATAAGCTGTGGACCTGGATTTAATTATAAGAATAATATGGCTTACACTAACAGTGAAAGCCTGCTATGCTTTGGTGTTGCTTCACGCAGATAACCAAGACAGGAATAGGGAGCATGTATTTTGCAAATTGATAGCTGTCTGTGGGGAACCAGAAGGGGTGGCAGTGGCATCACCAAATAATCTGGTTTTATCTTGCACAGTCGACTGTGTGCATCTGCCATGGGCTGCTCACTGCCCAAATAGACCTCACGGGGTACTCAGTGTCTTCTCTTGTGTCCTGGAAACACCCCTCACATGCACCTTGATTGGGAGGCCTGTGAATCCATGTATTTCATGTGGCATGGATACATGTGGTGCAGATCTAAACCTAGTAATGTCATAGTCTGCAGTGTGACAGAAAACCTGGGGTTAGATGTGATTTTATGTGTATATTCATATGTCTATAAAGCCAGTCTGTCTC